ATGTGTAAAGGCTAAGTAAGTATATTGTGAGACCTGTTATTTCTTCAGTGGGATTATTCCTATGGTTCCCTGAATATTAAGGTCAAATGCTGGATTTTCATTTTACTGCTGCGGAAGCAAACTTGCTAACTTTTAAATTCTTATTCAATTTCGTATTCATAACTGCGTTGTGCTTCCGTGGCATTTGTTGCGGTTGCCGCAGCTATTAATAATGTTGCAGTAAAATTTCTGCCTTGAATTTATCTTCATAGATACTCAAAAAATGATTGTGTTTCCTTCCCTAGGATTATTAGGAAAGCATACAAAATCTAAAAATACCAACAGCATTTTTGTGCACTTTTGGTTTTTACAGAAAATAAAGAGTGCAGTAGAGTTCAAAGTTTTGCTTAATGATCAGTCCCTTCTCTCCGGGGGGGACAAAAGAGCAATTTAAAATTTTAAATAAAGTTCTTTTTTTTCCCCCTTTCTTTCCCCTTGTGGGAAGTGCTGGAGCCCAATCTCCTGATTTAGCTGAAATTAAAAGCAGGGCTATGTAAGGAAAACAGGGGCCTGTACGCAGAGCAAAACACGAGTTGTAAGTGACACGGAGCAGCTGCACTGCCGAGGCGCTGAGGGCGAAAAGGGGCCACTGAGCTTTGTGTGCCACTGCAGCGTTCAGAATTAAAGTTAACCTAGTCATTGCACTTCCAGAATGTTGTACAATTTTTGTTCCGGTCCCTTGGCCTCTTTGGCAAGAGCTGACAATACTATTTGTTTCAGAAGAAACCTCTCAGGTGAAATGATTTGTGGTGGCTTGCTTTGGCTGCGTGCTTGGCTCTGCTGCAGGTTAGGCAGTGAGATTTATAGGAAGCCGTGTCTGATCTGAATGAGAAGGAGGTTGAATGGGAAGCTCTCACACTCTTTTACAGCGCCAGGGTGGCAGCTGTAATTTCTTCCCAGTTTGCTGTAATAGAAATACTTTTATTTTCCCATTCTGCCCCATAGACGGGCAAGCACCTGGGAGAAGACCATGGTCAACCATGTCTGGATTGCTGCCAAGGAGGCTACAGGGATGGGTCCATGGAGTTGAGCTCAGTTTGAAGGGGGCGTTGCCTTTAAACTCTTGCGGGAGGGTCAGAGAACGGACCATGCAATCTCCCGCTTCTCTTCCTGGTCTGGTCTGATCTGGGTTTGTGGGGAGTCCCTCTTGCCCTGCTTTGCGCAAAACCACCACCACACCCCCTTTCTGAATTCCTGATGCAGCGCTGGCAAGAGAATTGATAGCAGCAATTATTCCTTCGCAGTCTGGCCTGCAGGCAATTAGCAGCTGGGAGTTTGGCCAAGCACGGCACACATGGGGATCTCGGCTCTTTGCTGCACAGGCCTGTCACCACATGTGGCCACGGCTCAAGGCAAAGGAAATTGATACAGCGACATTTACGCTGCCGGTGCTGGTCAGATGGGCATGACTGCAACGAGAGCAAGAAATTGACATTTTGAAAAATGTCGGCCCTGGCATAGGGATGGACTCATGACATTTTCTCTCTTGGTTTTGGATTTTTGCTCTTTTTAACTTTATGCACCAGGGCGCCCATGTTGCTCAGCTGTAGCCCTTATTTCAGGCAATGAAGATGCCATTTTTTAAATCTCTAATGTTTCCTCTTTCCTGTCCTCTCCCTCCAGTGGCACATCTTCATTAATTGATGGAGGCGGCATTTATGATGAGAAGTTCTTGTACAAATCCACTGGGTTTGTTCTGTGGACGTGGATGACAGCCTTCTCTGCGTACTTGGGTTCTGAGTATTTATTTTTAAAATACAATTCTCATTTAGCTCTCCCCTAATCATGCTGACTGGAGCTGGTGGGCAGTGAACCCTGATACAGAAATCTGCTAAGAGTTTTCATCCTCCACTTCTACGGCCCCATCTGAGTATTTCCTTTACACCCGCTCTTTCTACTCTGATAAGCATTCAAGGCAACTAAAAATGTCCCTTTAAAAGGGTTTCTCCTGCAAATCTGCATAGCTGAATAAATGGGCAAGGAAAGAATTGGCTTCCTTAGCCATCAGTCTCAGCCCCTGAAATTGGGCCCAGTAACAGATCACTACTGCCGATGTTCTCCATACAAGGTGACATATGATCTTTGTAACTTGCACCAGTTAGTTTTCTGGCCCGATTTTGCACGATTTGCAACTTCCAGGCATTTCCAGAGTGATAGGAATTGATTCAGACTGAGATGATTTCCATACGAAGACAGAATTACAGCTGGAGGTCAGGGGTGTCTGCAGGGAAGGGGTGAGGTCATACCACACACAAGAGAGAGCAGGGTTTCAATTGTGCAGTTGTGATTGGCATCTTGACTTTACCGCCCAGCTCACCCCACACCCCAATTCTTTCAGATGTGGAGGTGACAGAAATTACAGGAGTCTTAAGATGTAGAAGGAAATAAATGCCATTTATGGGAACTATATAATTCAGTCAACATATAACCAACCGATCAATGCAAAAAATCCTTGCTATGAAGGGATGCAAAATATTATGAATCCCTTTGAAGGAGCTGCACTTGTGAACTAGCAGGATGCTTGCAGGGCAATGAGTCTGGGGCTGCCCAATGCCTTTCCCCCACCTATCTTGGACATGAGCAGCAGACATAGAGGAAGCATGGGATGTGGTGTGGTGGTGGTGTGTGTGTGTGTGTGTGTGTGTGTGTGTGTGTGTGTGTGTGCGCGCGCGCACGCCCAGACAACTGGCCCTAGTGTATAAGCCTAATGGGAATGTTTCTCTTTATTCAGCAAATGCAAGCAAGATCATTTCCCTGATCGGCAAATAGGATTTTCTCAATCCAAGAGAAGCACTGATTAGATGCTCCAAAGCATTGGGTGTATGACGTGTGCCTTTTAAAAACCCCACTTCTAAGCACTGTGGATTGACAACTTTTTTGCATCTACATTGAGCTCTCCCAACCTAATTAGGGCAGAAGACCAAGACTAGATACAGGAAAGGGGGACTAGAAGAGATATTGGGCACACTCATTCTCTACTCTGTCCAGCCCAAGAGGGTTGCAGTAAAATTAGCAAAATGAGTTGGGTCAAAGCTGAATGACCTGAATTAGATTGAAGGGAAGGGAAAAGGATGCAGCAAGACGATTGGGTGGCCTTGACAAGTTAGCCAGAAATGTTCTTCAGGATGTTAGTAGTTTGGGCACATGAACCGATTCTCTGCAAGATTTCTTGTACTGCCTACTAGAAAAGATTTGCTTTCTGTCCCTGGTTTTCTCCTGTTTAGGATCTTTATCATACATCCGCCTCTTCCTAGAGCCAGAATGGAACAACTCGCCGCAGTCAACTCGCCATGGCCAACTTTCCATGGGACAATTCCACAATTCAATTCAATTATTTAAAATAAATCATTATTTTAATTTTTGTCATTCGCATTTCATTTTATCCCTCCTTTGGCATCCTTTCTTTAGTGATTCTATTCCACTATTTCTTCGCTATTAATGTAACTCTTGTCCTGCGGTGAACTGGCCATGGCTAGTTGTCGTAGACCCTCCTAGAGCAGCCTGTATTTGGAAAATGCCCAGGTTCCTCCCCGTTTGCACCCTTCACCACATTTAACCACCTCCCAATCAAAATCTTGAGCCATCCTCATTGAAGAAAGAAACCTTTATTAATAAATAATAATAGTAATAATAATAATAATAATAAATACTGTTTATTTGAATGGTCACACTTTTGAAGCATATAGAATGGGGTGGGTAGCTGATGCTCCCAGGGTGGGAGAGGGGGTAGCAAATGGGAGGGGGGGGTTGTACAAGGGGGCAGGAGTGGCAAAGGTGGGGCTATATACAACAGGAATAGAAAAGGAGGATCATCTGGTTGCTGGCATGTCAGGAGCTTTAATGCTGAATAGAAAGTGAGGTTTCATGAGATGACTAAGCCAAGGGGAGGTCAGGAGCAGGGAGGAGGCCCTGAGTCCATCTGGCTCTGGGGTGGGGTGGGGTGGGCGGGTAATGGGACATGCACTCCTCCCATGAAGGGCTGTGGGCAGGGAGGAAACCCTGGGTGGCAGCGGCGGTGGTGGCAGCAGCAGCGGCGGTGGCGCAGCTTGGTTTGTGTAGCAAAACGGTTCTTTCTCCGAATGCCCTGGTGCCCAGCCTGGCCCCCTCCCCAGCTGGGGGCTACGCTGCTCTCCCTCGCCAGCCACACAGTCCTTGAGGAAATGCTTGCCCAGCACCCTGGCTTCAGTGTGATGGAGGGGGAGGCGTTTCTCGGCCCTCCGGAGCAGGGTGGGAGGTTCTGGGGGAGACCTGGAGATCTCGGACGTTCTCAGCTCTGAGTTCAGCCAGGCCTCCCCCAAGGACAGCTGCAGGGGTGGAGCTCGCTGCCTTGTGGGCCGATGGGAGCCGGGATCCTCAGGGGGAGAGGAAAGTGCAACTTCTTCAAAGAAACCCCCCTTGAAAACCTGGGGTGCCCATCCACCGGCGTACCCCAGAAGCCCTCAGCCTGGCCCTACACCGTACAGGAATCCAAGGCTTGCCGACTTGACCAACGGATGAACCAGCTAAGCGCGAAAACACTGGGAACTTCTGGGATGCAAGAAGCAGGACGGCTAGCCCTGCCGGGCGCTCATGGCGTCTTCTGCGGTCTGGAAGGGCCGCAGGTCTTCAGGAGGGCTGGAAGGAAGACGTGATGGCCTGGGGCCTGCAGATTCCAGTCTGTGTCAGTACTTGTCCCTCCTGGCCCCGTGGTCTGCAGCAGGGAGGAGCAGGGCACGGGTCTCCTGATGCGGACGGCATTGTGGAGTCTGCGTGGGGCTGCCCTGCCGTCCATCTGTCCGGGCAGACTGTCGGTAGTTGCGCTCCGGCTGGCCTGTCGCTTGGGGCGCATGTGTGGACAGAAGGGGGCTTTCACTCAGTCGCTTGGCTTGTTAGTTTTGTAATTGTTTGTTGCTTTGCTTTAAAAAAAAATGTTTTGTGCCCTTCCTGGTCCCAGAAGGAAACAGCTGAAGGTTTCACTACAACAGAAAACAAAGGCAGAATGTTCTATGGAGCAACCTGCAGGCTGTGGCCTGGGGGGAAAACGGGGCAGGAGGAGAAGGCAGGGAAGCGCTTTCCGCTCTCTCTGTGGGTGCTGGTCCAGAATGTTAGATTTGGGAAGTGGGGTCCCAAAGTATCTTTAAGCTTTGCAGGTCCCTTTTGTACACAGCTGTGGGCCTATTTTGCTCAGCAAAATCAGTGATGAGGTAAATTACCCAAGCCCAGCATGGAACTGGTAGCCAGCATTGTGGAAGGAAGCTGGGTTTGCTTGGCCCCACCCAGGGCCCGAACCCAGTCAGTTCCCTCAGAGACCTACATGCTAGGCCCAGAGGGGATCTGTGGGGTCTCCTGCTCGCTGCACATTCTCCAGAATACCTCCCAGTCTCTACCAAGGCCAGCCTAGCAGTACATCTCTCACTCATTTCCCAATGGGAAGAGGGGAACTCAGTTTTTCTCCCCTTGCAAGAGAGGGAGAAAGATGCCCCTCTGATTGACGCAGGGCCTGAGCTGGCCCATCTTTCCCCTATAGGAAGGATCTGGGCTGTTGCCCGCCTGGCACTTTTGCCCTGCCTTTGTGTGAGGGAGAAGAAGGGCCACTGCACCTGAGGGGGGACGATATCCTGAGTTCCTTTGGCCAGAGCCTCTCCTTTAGATGTGGGAGAGCAGAAATGGTGCAGGAGGCCTCACAGGGGCCTCCTCCAATAGTATCCCAAAGGCTGTCATGGGGCTTGATCTAACAGGAGAACTCAGACACTGGGTGCCTCTATAGTAGGCAGGGGAGTTCCTGGAAGGTTATCTTGTTGGGGCGGATGTGTGTGTGTGTGTGTGTTTGTGTGGTAAAAGCAGGCACCTGTCCCAGCTCCCTGGCTGGCTGCTTTGCAAAATGACACAAACGTGGCCAATACACCATCAGAGACAAGTGGGAAGAGAGGCATGGCAGGCGGCTTGAGGTAAAGAGATGGGTGATTTAGGCTGCCGAGGGTCAGCAGCAGGGGACAGGGGCCCATGTCCACGGGGTTTTGGTTGGATTTCTAAGGAGCAGTCAGTGTTACTACTGTGAGGAGGGTCTGGGTCTGTCTTGCTAGTAGGGAGTGAAGCGGCTGTACCCTCCTCGGTATAGACTAGCCTGCAACATCAAAGATGGAGAAAAAGCCAATCAGTATAAAGGAGAGGCACAGCTCATCCCTGCCCTGTCCTTGGAGCCAATATGGGGGTGGGCACTGAGGCTGGCAGAGAACTTCTTCTGAGGAGATGGGAGCAGTGAGGGGAGAGGGGGGGAGGGGGGCGGGTTGGACTCAACTTCCCAGCATGCAAAGTCTGCCTTGGGGCAGACTTCACAGGAAAACCATCCAGACAGATAAGGCTGATATGCATTTTAAAAAAGAAACGTAAAGTAAAATGGTGCTTTGGGGGCAGGTGCCTAAAACTTTGCTACGAATCCTTCCATGGGTAAAGGAAGCAAGGGCCTTGCAAAACCATGCCTCAGTTTCCCTTAATCTAGACAGATGCCTCCCTCTCAGTATTCTCCCCCTTCTGAGAGTTGAGGGTTCAATGCAAATCTGTGGGCGGATGGAATTTCTCGTGGTATCACTAGGAAGGCCCTGATGGGCAAAGGTGATTACAGGATGGCTTGAAATCTTTCTCCTCTTTGATGCTGCCTAGAGACCTGATTACAAGGAGGCATCACTGCAGGAACCAGATGTGGAAGTGTGTTCAGAAACAGGAAGGACGGGGGTGGGTGGGGTGGGGTGGTGGCTTTGGGGAAGAGCCCCTGTGCACGCACAGCTTGCTCAGCTCCAACCCACTTCCTAAAGGACCTGCTCCTTGAAGCACTGCTTCTGAACGGAGGCTCCCTTACACCTGTACAAGCTGCTACTTCCTTCAGGTGGCTTTTAAGAAGGGCATCACTTGTTTAGGAAGCCATCCTTTTTATTATGTGCCCCACCTTCCCACCCCCCAGGCAATGAGGGCAGCCAGGGCTAGGCCCAGCCCTAGATGTGGGCTTCTTCACTAAGAAGCTTCCTGCTTAGGGTTTCTCTGGCCCTGGAGAGCTGATTAATAGGACTGCAGCTGAGATCCGAGTGTCAAGTGTCCCCAGAGACATCCCAAATCTTTCTTCCTCTTTTCCCAAGTACCCAACCTGACCGCCCACATTCCCCCCCCTCCCCCCAAGGTCTGGATGGCCATGCACAATGGGATAGAAAGCCCCATTCTTACCATGGTGCCGATGCTGTAGGTGGCAGCAGGGCCAATAGTGTGGTGGTAAGGGTCTGCAGCTGCATAAACTCTGCCGTAACTAGGAGCGAACACAGGGGGCAGCGTTAGAAACTGAGGAATCGCTGAGTTGCCAACCCTAAGTGTTCAAAAAACCATGAATCAGGCCCCAGTCATCATAAACTTTGCTTCAAGTCATGATAAACACAGAAGAAACGACAAGAAATGTTCACTGAGCTTTTAGCGAAGACCCCTGAGTTACAGTACTTTTCCCAAGTGGGTGCTAGAACAACAACCCCAGCCTTAAAGCCATGCCGCTTGGGAACGCCAGCGGTTGCCGTTCCACCATTGTTTGGGGGATGCCAATTGGGGAAAGCGACCCAGTAGTGAATTGCTCCAATTCCCCGCCCCAGAGAGAGATCATTTCAAACTACAAGCATCTCAAAAAGGAGAGGGCTAGAATTCAAAAACTATTTTATTTTATTTTTTATTGTCATCCCCTTTTTTGCTGGGATGCAATTTCAGAAGGGAGAAGGAAAGGATCTCTTTCTAGATGAACAAGCAGGTCATTGAAAGGATGTCCTTTCCTAGAGAGATACTAATGTCCCAAAAATGTACAGGTATCACTGTAGCCTAAACAAGAGGTGGCCAAGCCTTCTTTGGCGGGTTGGGGGAAGTTGGTAGGACAGGGCCCCCAACTGTGTAGTCTTATAATTGTCTCTTTGAGGTCTGCAAGGAATTTTGGATTTCTCCTTTCAGTTTGTGCATTTTGTACCTCAAAAAACTACCTTAGCATTGCTTGTCTGGTTGTGCAAACAGAGATTGTGAAGGTTTGATTTGCAGGGGAGAAAGTGTGTAACCCAGAAGCAGGAAAAGATTATTTGTTTTCCCAGGAGGGAAGGAATAAAACCATTTGGCAGCCAAAGGATGTGGGGTAGAGTCATCCCAGCTGCAGCTCTTCCACATTATCCTTGTTTAACTTCTGGTGTGCATCCTGCAATTCTATGAGGGCACAGATCACTATTTATTTTAATCAAAGGAGAAGTAGGAGTGCCTGGGTGACTGGGTCGTGCTGATTAGAACTGGTTTTGTAAGGTACAGACAGAATGTAAATAATTATTTCCTGGCGTGGATGAAGCTGGAGCAGATCTTTTGTCAATATTGGGTTTTATGAGCCAAAAGGAAGACAGTACGGTATGTGAGGATTTTATGTGGGGGAGAAAGAAAACATGAGAAATGAATAAACAACTAACAGCTAAAATTTCAGAAGCTCTTTGACCAACAACCTCAAGCGAAGAATGGAATTAACATGAATATAGAAAAACTAACATTCTAAGAAGATTTTATCATCAGAATCCTTAGGATTTCTTATCTGTAAATAATTAACAGAAGGTAGCAGCATCTAGCCAGTGCTGGCTGATTTTGAAAAGGCAAACAAGATTGGAACTTGTTATTCTCTGGATGGGAGACCACCAGGAATTCCCAGGTTAGACTGAGAAATCAGAAAGACATTCTGGAATTGGGCACTGCTAATCCGCTTCTATACTGTTGCCAAGAAAACTGTGTGTATGTCATAGAAATTGTTGCTTCTGGACAGTTTGGTTAAGATCAAGAAGTGTGTCACAGAAAGGAAGCTTGAGTCAACTTTTAATCCTGAAACAGCTCTGTACACTAGGTTAGTATTCATCAGTACCAGAGTATTAACAATGACCTACTTTGCAGGGCTGCAGTGCTGTAGATGGGAAGGGCTCTGCTGAGAGTGTCATCATATAAGACCACATACATGTTCCTTGTTAGATCTGAATGTTAAATCTGATTGGCAAGACCAGCTTGTCCCAATGCAAGGATAATCACTAACCATCTTTCAAGGGCAGAAACACGCAACACCCTCAATACATCAGGAAGGCCACTTCCCTGGTCCCCCGTCCCCCCCCCCAGACATTCATTAAATGTGTTTTTTGACTTATCTGGTTGGTCAATTGTTGGGCTTCATTTCACTGTAGGCCAATGCCTCTATTCTAAGGGTAAACTGTGCCCGGTGGTGGGAATGATCCTGCTTCCCTGGCCATTGATTGCTGTCCTCCTGGCCATTCTGCCCTGGGTGACTGGATGGGCTGCCCCTTTCTGAGAAGTCTGGATCAGAAAAGCTGTACTTTTTTTCTTTGTTTTTGCAGGAGATCTGGTGAAACACCGGCACTTTTTTTTTTTTTAAAAAAAGAAGCTAACTAGTAGAATGGTGAAAGGCTAAGCTTTTTTTCTTTTTTAAATAATTGGTGGAATGGGGAAACAAGGATCTTTTGGTTTTTGTTTAACTAGGTGAAATTTGCAAGAGTTGTGCCTCCTTTCAACTGACTAGAAGGATGAGAAAACCGCGGTACTTCACTTTTCTTCTGGTCCACTGGTCCAAACACAAGGGAGGGGCTCATATTAAAAACGGAAACCAGTATCCCGAAATATCCCCCATGGAAAGAAGGTAGTCAAGAAGTGGGAACACCCACCAACTGGGACTATGGTAAATGCAGCCTGAAGTGAGCACCAGGCCACCATCATGGCCAAAAAGGAGGAAATCTGGAGCTTAAAATCTGGAAAGGTTTTGTTTCCTGCAGGTTTCTACATGGAAGGCAAGCAATTAAAAGCTGCCATGTGGAAGAACCCTTAGTTTATAGCTTCCTTTCTTAATGAGGGTACGGCACACTTTTTATGATATCTCCCTATGAATTAACACAACATATGTGCATTTTAAGTGGAACTGAACAGCTGAACACACACATTGCTTTACTGAGCATGATAATACAAATATAGAAACCAGGAGAATGAAAAATGTTTTCTAGGAAAGGTTTCCGAGTAGAAATAAATGTGTACCACTGATAAAACTGTACTGCTTTGCTAGTAATATTTTTTGCAAGGGGTCACTCCTCCCCAGTTTTATCCAAATATTTCTTAGTTAAGCCCCTTATAATGTATTGCTTCTCATAATATTTTCATATCCTTCATATTTATTTACTCAGTTGTTACTTTGTTGTGCATCTTTAACCTGCTTTTCATTAACAGCAGAATAATAATCTACCGCTAACCTAATTAAACGACAGTCATTTTTTAATAGGATGCTAAAACATGTAAAGGGAGTAGGATGATAAGAATATTGCATGTCAATAAATACCTGATTAAGAAAATAGTCTCTCCCACTTCCCAAATAAAGCTTCAGCAGCTACCACTGTAATAACTAGGCCTGTGTGAAGAAGTGCTACTTGATTTTGCAGAATTGTTTTGGCTTCGATAACTGCAATGAAAAGGCCCCGCAGTGTGGAAAAGCAACTTTGCTTTGAATGAAATGTCTTTGGTGCATGATCAGAATTTTCTTGGAGCCCAGTGAAGTGACTTCTCCTGGAAAGTGTGGCTGCTCTGCACCACCCCTATTTTGTAGAGCCACATTGAAAAAGCGCTTGGCTGAATAAACCATCAAAACTAAACGCCCCTTCAATGTTTCCTAACCCCCCCTTGTAATAATTGTGTTTAGAAAAGGAAGATAAGCACCAAAGGATTAATTGAGTTGTCTTGTTGCCTCCGAGAGACTCCGTTTAACAACATAACCTCTCCAAATGTAGGCCACTTCAATATAGCCATTCATCTTATCAGCATGAAATTCTGTATACTGGCAAGCCAGAAAGCATACACATTTCAGTGAAAGGTATAAAGAAAGGGGGAAGAGAGGTTGCTTGCGAAGAGCAGGAGAGGGGAAGAAGAACAGGGGCCAAGATGAGGCATTGCTCAGACCAGAGACTCTTTGCGCTGTGGACAAACCAGCTCCCAGACTTATTGAGTGTTGTGGACTCTGCTGCTTTTTTAGGGCCTGCCAGGACTTCCAATATTCCCCCTGCCCCTGGGCCAAACCAGTCCATGGGGAAACGTTGGAAAACGTTTCTGACTGAAAGCAGCGGTGTCCCTTTTCTCCACACCCTGGTGCATCAGTAACAATTCCTTGGTGCAGGGATGCCATTACGAATCCCTGCATCCAAGTGATGGGCTGATAAGGGGACCAGACGCCAAGGAGGAAGACGGCTTACCTGTCGCTGTAAGCTGTTGCTGCCGCCGCCGCAGGCTGGGCGTATCTGTAGGCCGCATACCCCCCCTGGAGTAGATGAGAGAGACAAGCATTAGAGGTGATGGTGCGATTGCAGAAGGACACATCTTTGGGGGGATTTCAGGTGCTGGCTAGGAGGGAGATATGTACCCACAGGCCCAGCCCCTCTCCAATCTCATTAGCATTCCCTGGGGGCCTTGCTACCATTAACCTGCAGAAATTAAACATGCTGAGGAGAGAATGTCACCTCCCTAGTGGGTGGCGGTGTTAACGAGATGTCGCCTCTGATAAATCTGTCAGTGTGTGCCTGAAGTATTGCCCAGAGCACTTTAAATATGGAGGGGAAATGCTGCTGTATAACCCGGCAGGCTGACACCAGGCCAGAAAATAAATCCTGCCCTTCGTAGGAGCAGATGCACCCCTCGCCCCACCCTTACAGGTAGCCTGCTTCCCCTCTCCAGCTGCCGCACATGCAGGCAAGCAGGCGGGGAGGTGTGATTTCAAGCCTTCCTTTTCCACCCTTAACCTCCCTCAGTTGTGGAAAGTGCTGGGATGAGCCTTGGATGAGTGATGAGAAAAGCTGTACAGCTTATGGGGAGGGCTCAGAGGCTGCCCAACTGCTGCTGCTTCCTGAGGTCTGGGCCCTGGGTTGTTTTCCCCACTGTGTTTTGGCAGCCTTGGCTCCTGTTCGCATCACTTAATGAAAAGAGCAAGCAGGGGAGGATTTCTCCTTGACAGAACAGCCTTCCTGGAAGGGCCTGTGCCTGGTTACCAGCAAAGTCTGCCAGGTCTCTGCAGGAACTTAAGTACCAGAGGATGCTTTGACTGGAAATGAAAAAAGAAAAAAAGAAAAAAAAGAGGCTCTCCTAAGGAAACTTTGAAAGGGTGGACTTACATAAATTTCAGCACCGTAGAATCCGTCCTGGTAAACCACTCTGCAAAAGCAAGAAGAATGTGGCCGTGACTAAGAGTTACTTTGGGTAGGGCTCTTTGAAGCTCACTCCGCAAGACTGGTTGTCTTCCAGATGGGGGAACTCTAGAGCAGGCCTCAGATGAGCCTTTGTGGCTCTGGTGTTTGGACCTATCCATTGCTTTTCTCTACCCTGACAGCAGGACAGGTGCAAATGCAGGCATCATGCAATAGACAGATAGAGCTGTCTGCCTGACAGTCAACAGGAAAAATCACAAAGGTATTCCTGGGGAAACCTGGACACAGCCACTCTTGGCTGTGCAGCCCCGCAAAATAGTCACACACGTTCTTGCTTCATTTTCGTCATTTTAAAAAGGATCAGGTTTCTGATCCATAGGGTGAGAGGCTATAGGATGATCAACACGGCTATCTATTTGCTTCCACATATCATCTAACGATGCTTCCCTTCCTGTATCCCTCATGTTTGCCTAATTAGTCAAAGAAGCCTCTACAACACAAGATGGAAGATGATCTGCTTCGGAAGGAAGCATGAAAATAAATACATTGTGTGAAGTACTTAATTGGCTTGCATAATTTATCCTGGCCAAGGAAACAGAAAATTCCTGTTGAAAAAGTGGAATGACTGGGAACATGACTTCTCTGGCTGTATGAGTTGACTGTGAAATGTTCAGTGCCACCGGGGTAAATTCTCTGCCTAATCTTACCAAAATGGTGGCCTCCGGAAATGCCATAATTTCCATAATTTCCAGACAATAGGGACGATCTGTAGGAATCTCTATAGGAAAATTGAGGCCAATGAGAAATCCAAGGATAACTCTGAATTTTCCAACCATGTGTCCAGAAATCTAGGACAACAGAGACTTTATGTCTTAATCATACTGGAACCACAAACCGAGAAGCTTCAGGAAGGAATGTCTTAGAATTAACATGGCTTATAATGAACTGATGAATGATCTCACTGCCCAGAGCTGAGACACGTGGGAAAGAATCCTCTGGGTCTTGAGAAGATTGCACATCTAACTTTGGCCTTTTTTGGAAGTGCCGAACCACCCATCTTTATAGGGCAGCCTCTCTGCTCAATACTTACGCTCCGTAAGTGGGGATGGGTGGAGGTGGGGGAGCTGCTCGGAACGTGTTGTAGACTGTGCGTCCTCGGCCCCTTAAGTGCGTTCCCCGGTACGCTACTGCGGTTCCTGTGGCTGGATATGGAAAACCGGTCACTGGAGGAGGGGAAGAAATAATCATGAGGACCAGCCTTGAATAGCCCCAAATTTTAAACTCTGTTCTCCATTTCCCCCTTCCCCTTCCAAGAATAAGGGATGAGCTTTTCCCACTTCCTTCCTCAGGTATGTTCCTCGCAGATAACCTATGAACCCAACCCATCAATTCAATATTCCTTCCTAATTAATATTTGAGGAGCTGTTACAAAGAAGGGGGAGGGGCTAACCTATTTCCCAAAGCATCTGAAGGCAGGACAAGAAGTTACGGATGGAAAGCTATCAAAGAGAGCTCCAAACTTTCTTGACAATGAAAACAACTAATTAATGGAATGGCTTGCCTTCAGAAACTGTGGTGCTCCACCACTGAAGGTTTTTAAGAGATTGGAAACCATTTGTCTGGAACGATATAGCTTCTCTTGCTTGAACAGGGGGTTGGACTAGATAAGGCCTCCAAGGTCCCTTCCAACTTTCTTATTCTGTATTTCTGTTCCTATTCCAAATATTTGCCTTCAAGATTTTTACCCTCTGTCATAATTCTATCAAAAATTATGCATTAGGGCTTCAGAATATGACTATGTCTCAGTTCTGATCACGTTTGTTCTCTTTTTCCACAATAAAATCCAGATTCAGACATAGTTTTCTCTCTCTTCTGTACCCCTACTTTTATCCAAACCAGTGTCTGAAGCTGGTTATGTGAAGTACAGACGGAGGAATGAACTGTTTGCAAGGAGTATAAGTTCTACAAACAGAGCTACCTGCTAAACAGAGAGCAAGATGGCAGGGGTGAGGGCTAAACAATGTCTCAGATCCCTCCCAATTCTATCAGGATTCATACACCACATTAAACCCTAAACTTAGGCTAACAACACAGGATTCCTTTACTTATATGCTAAGGCCCAAGCAAACAAATGAGATTATGGTTTTATCTGATGGCCGGCTTCATACAATATGCTAAGAGAGAGAGAGTAATGGGAATCACAGCATCCTGAGCTATAAATTCCATAGGCCCATTTAGCTGTGTTGAATATGTTGTGCAAAAGCATATTAACTGTGCCAAGAATATTGTGAGATGCATTCAGTGATATGTTTTATGGCGTGTTTATACTACCCTAAATCTGGTTCTGAACTGTTATAATTTGGCTAGTCTAGAACCCTAATTTACAATGGAGAGTCAAAAATCCTTGCCATTTGACTATAAATTACTAAATTATGTACCTATAGATTCCAGTTAATAGTCTACCAATCCTAGAGTGACGTTTTAAGATAGTGATTTGCCTAAAATTAGGCACAACGCCCCATGGCTAAACAGGAATTTGAACCTAATGTTTCCCAGACTCAGCACCCCCATTCCCCCCTCAACCCTCCTCTCTCCCTTCTCCCCCTGACTTTTCGACTTCTTGCTTTCTTCTTTGCAAGCAATAGCCTGTGGCACCCTAGGAATAAGCAGATTCTGCTATGAGATTCAGTAGTCCTGCCAGATCCCTAAGAGATAAATGCTTGTCCATGGATCTGGCCTGATTCAGACATTACCTGCATAGAATTCAGGGCCATAGACGGCGCCCACTACAGGGTTCAGCTTCCAGCCTGGTAACAAAGAAGGAGGCAGTCAGAAAGCATTGCTCCTCCAGTCCTCCTAAACTCTCCCTAATAGGGGGAGTAATGGCATTCCAAGCAATGGCATTCCACTGGAGGGGGTGCTAGGCTCATTAGGCATTGTCCTTGAAGAGGGAAATTTGGAGCAGATGCTTTAATAGGCTGGGTGCTCGTCTTGCCATCTCTGTTTCCAGAAATACAACCCAAATCCATGCTTTGCATTTTTTTCTGAGACGCCCTGCCCACCACCAGGAGTCAGAAACACCTCCCCATCCCCAACCTATAGGGTGGCTTGGAGGAAAACAAGCCTGCCCTCTTTCCAGGAATGCCTGGCTCCAAACTCACTTCACCACCCTCCCTTGTTCCATTACCGTTTGTGTAGGGATTAGCTGCCTTTTTGTTTGTCATGACCCGTGCGGTGGCATTGTTGACCTGTTGAGAAACAAGCACCAGGTTACTGATAGACTTTGGGGGTCCAAGTGGAATTCCTCTTCCCTGGACCTCAAGGAAAACGTCAGCATTCAAAAGGCTGATCAAGGTTTCTGTCAGATCCTCCATGATTTATGGGCCAATCATCCTAAGCAAAGGCAATTTGCTTGCCACGCTACAATTCTCGACATCTTGGATTATTAGCCGTCTGAGTCCTAATCTTACAGCTCCTTCCTAGGGTGCTGGCCACAAACAGGAGTGCAACATTAGAACAACATTAGTGGGCTTGTTGCAAGGGACCACTGCTGAAACTCTATCTTCCCAGGGTCGTGTTCACAGCTAGCATGCAGGGCCCTGCACAAGCAGTTTTCATGCATACTAGAAATACCATTAACTGGACAGGCTAAGCAATGCAGGCAAGAGGAGACCTAAGAAATTAAACCAGTAGAACAAAAGGGTGGGAGTTCCAGCAGAAGAGGATCTCAGGGGCAACAATGCAGCACCATCTCTCTACCTTACAACTCTGATGAACCAGAGATCCAGGGATCATCGTCAGTGCTCCAGTGTGAACAAAGGGCTCAACAGCTATCAAGAACTACATTCACAGAAGGGTTTTTTTTGCATCTTTTACACAGTCTATTCTGAAATTGCTCTATACTTCCTTTTGGGAAGGCAAAGAGCAAGAATCTCTGACAGGTGACAATTGCACAGGATGATTTAGGCAGATTTTCTGGAAGCTTGGAGACATTATACTTCTCTTCCTTTCCTTAATATTGTCTGAAATGACTGCGTGTAATAGGTTCTTGGTAGAGACATTCTGCCTTCCTACCCTTCTGCATCCTTCCCTACCAACCAACCTACCAGAATCAAAACCACAGGACATGCAACATTCACTCGCCCGCCTGCTTGTCCTGGCTAATCCCAGAGACAGATATGTGTATATATATATATATATATATATTTAAAGGTTGCAAGTGTGAGGCCTAATGCCCGACGCAGAGCAGGCAGTGCATTTGTTCGCACCTCAATTTTGCGTCCCTCTACGATGGTGCCGTTCAGCTTCTCCCGTGCCCGATCGGCATCTGCACTAGTTTCAAAAGTTACAAACCCAAAACCCTGTGAGTGAGGGAGAGAAAGGAAAAAGGAAAGAAAAAGAGAGAGGTTGGGGAGGGAGAGAGGTAGGAAAAGGAGAAAAGGATGAAGAAAGAAAAAAAGGGGGGCGGGAGGAACAGGACAGAGAGAAGGGGTGAGTAAGGAGCAGCAGAGAAAAGAGGCAGGATGTGAGCTTCCCAAGCCACCCTAAAGACCGGGCGAGGGGGTCAGGGTTGGGTGGGGAAGGAGCGAGGACAAGGGAGGATAAGGACTGAGAGGAATAAGAGGACAGGACAAGATCTGCATCACCATTCCATTAGGGCAATACGACCCAAAAGGACTGCAAATGTGTAGGATTATTTCCCCCCACCCCCCGACTATTGGCTTTACATTTATATCATCCAGGCTAGAGAGACACAGTGGCCCTCCTAAGTGTGAAGAGGCTGTGGGGATGATTGAGGTCCAGTTGTGCCCCCTCCAGAATGCTCAACCATTGTGTGACATCTCCTCAGCTTCTGTTCAGTTTAGCTCTTACAGTCAATAACGGAACAGCAGGAGTTTAAGCCCTGAAAGGATTTCCCAAGTTTCTTTCTGACTTAAAATACCTGAATTATCTCCTGGAACCAAAATTCAATAGTGTATTTTCATGTCTATTATGGGGAAGAAGAAATATCCACATTGTTTCCTCCAAACCTTAATATCATGTTGCCTTAAGTAGCATGTTATGTTATTTTATTTCTCTCTCTCTCTCTCTCTCTGGTTAGAGCAATTTCTAATCTCACCATGAGAGGGTGATCTTTTTCTGCATTAAATTACTTTTAGTGATGGCTTTGCGGCTGACAGCTTTTCCTCTTTCTATGGGACTCCGAATCTAGAATTGCTTAAGTTAATTATTTTCAACTAGCTCAGCTGTTTTCAGAGGGAAAGTTAAAATACCAACATGTCATTCTTACATCTAAAGTCACCGGGCTCGAAGGGATGGTGAGGAAAGGGTAGTTAGAAACCAGGAGGCACCCTGTGGCAGAGAAAGGAAGTAGTAAAGGCAGGGATGCAGAACGGAGGAGACAGACTGGCCCCTGGGAACACCCATCTCTACAGGGACATTTGGGTTGTATCAGACACCAACATGTTGAACCCACCTTGGAACCACGCTCATTGAAAATGATCTCAACATCCAGGATCTTTCCAAATTGCTGGGGGAGAAAAAGAGGGACAGGGGAAGGGGGAAGAAGGAAAGGTGAAAATGGGAACGGAGACATCATTTCTTTCCATCCCGGCTTGGAAAAACCCTTGTGCTTTGATTTATTCCCAAAGGGCATGGCGTGCAGACATCTCTCGAACATCCTTGAGTATCAAATACAGCTAGTTCTCATTTACAGGTAGTCCTCGATTTACGACCACAATTGAGCCCAAAATGCTCTGTTGTTAAGTGAGACATTCATTAAGTGAATTTTGCCCCATTTTACGACCTTTCTTGCCCCAGTGGCTAAGTGAATCACTGCAGTTGATAAGTTAGTAAGCCGGTTGTTAAGTGAATCTGGCTTCCCCATCGACTTTACTTGTGAGGAGGTTGCAAAAAGTGATCACATGACCTTGGGATACAACAACGGTCATAAATATGAACCAGCTGCCAAGCATCTGAATACTGATGACATGAACATGGGGAATGCTGCAAAGGTCGTAACAGCGAAAAACGGTCGTAAGTCACATTTCTCAGAGCGGTCACTAAACAAACTGTTGTAAGTCGAGGACTACCTGTACTGACCGCAATTGGGGTCGGCAACATCATTGCTAAGCAACGTGGTTCACCTGATTGTGCCCAACCTACGTCTGTTCTGCGGCAGTTTTAAGTCACGTGATTGTGAGTTGACATTTCTGGCCGGCTTCCCCACTGACTTTGCTTGTTGGAAGCTGGCTGTGAAGGCTGCAAATGGCAACCATCACATGACTGTGGGACACTGTGATTGTCATAAATGCGCACTGGCTGTGAGGTGCCCAATTATGGTGCCATAACTATGGGGATGCTTGCAACCGCCACAATTTCAAAGATCAGTCGTAAACCTACTTTTTTTCAAATTTGCGGTCGTAAATTTGGTAAGCAAGGACTACCAGTATTTATACACATACACGGAAAGAACTTTTGGGATCTACCGTCATGCTTAGACAGACGCCGCTTTGTTTCCACTGGCTGCTAGGAACCATCACCCCTGGAAGTACAGGAGGTGTTTTCTGCATTATGCAATACTCAGCCTTTGAATGACATGTCCTAGACATGCTGCTTAGAGAAACAAGTTTAATCCTGCTTTAACCCTGATCACCACAAGACCTGCAGAGCTCTGTGGGGGTCAGCGGGAACAGACAGGAGTTCCTGCCAAAGAGGAATGAAAGCAAGAAGCAGGCCCTTTAGATACATGGATAATTAAAAGATATAACAAGAGTATGTAGAAGCCATATAAAGATAAGTAGTAGATCTGACAACATTTGGACCCAACATTGTTAGCTTGATTGATATTCGCTGAATTTATAAATGGTGCTAAATAATACTCTGTTTTAACCATTGTTTGTTAAGTCAGCCCTAGAGGTTCACACAAAACATTCAACTGTAAACTATGTTTTACTAACCACAATGCCAGGTTCACATATCACACGAAGCAAAAAAAAAAAAAAACCCGACTAAATTATAATGTGAAAGACAGAGTGAACACAGTCAGTTCCTTCCCAAGAAGACCACATTTCTATCTTTATTTAGCACAGGAAGGTGACAGACTTACCCCAAACATTTGCCGCAGATCAGGGTCCCGGAAGCGGAAAGGGATGTTGGAAACGTGTAGCCGCTTAGGCTGCTGTTTGTCAGAACCATTCTCTGGTAGGTGTAGTGTCTGGTTGTCTGTCTGCGCTGCTTCATCTGTCTGCTGGTGAAAATAAATACATTAAAGCACCATTGTGATTCTTTGTGTGCATGCCGTGTGTGTGCGTGCGGGGTGGTTAGGTGGGTCAGGGAGGGCATCATCATGGCTTGCGAAAGGCAGATTTCAAAGGTATGAAATGAATCCAGCAAAAATGCTAGATTGGATTTGGGGCAATTAGGTTTTTCAGCCTGCAGGCATATTAACTTTCCTGGGTTTACTATATAATCTGTTCTTCCGCTGAAGACTGGGGCTCATTTTTTGCAAGTCTTGTTCTGCAGTGCTTGGGGCTGGAGCCATTTCTCTGTTTAAAGCAGTCAATTTTTTGATTCCTTCTCTTTTCTCCCCCCTCTCCCTATCCACCAGGCCAGACTTCCTCTCTGCCTGGAAAGCAGGTTGTTCTTGATACAGCTCTGAAGGGGTTTACTTTTAGAGAGTTCCTTCCATCATATGGGGTCCCACTTCCATTCTTTGGTTTTGCTTCTTACGCCCCCAGTTCTGCAGGTGGCCTGAACTCATTGCTTTATTTTAGCTCTCCCCAACATTTTTTTTTCCTCCTCTTATACCCCATTTCCCTGTTCCCTGCCTAAGATAAGGCCAAAGCTCAGGATCTTCATGCTGCAGGGTCCCCATGATCCCGAAAGGCATTTGGGAATGTGCATTCCTATGAAAGTGATGCTACTTAATTGCTAACTTTTAATGTCATACCGAGACTAGGCTCACAGAGTGTGCTATCGTATGGTTTGTTTAGCTATGGCTTACTGATTAAAAAAACCCGAAGAGCTGGGTTTACCCGACACTCAAGCCATAAACCATGACTTAGAAGCACAATAACTAGGTGAGCAGAATACAGCAAGCCAAACACAAACAAATCACATTATGGTTTAGTGCAATGTGAGAAGCCAGTCAGGGAGCAGTGGCATATGCTCTTAGGGACTACGAAAGTGAGCTGTGAAACCGAAAGTCCCCAGCTCAGCTCTTTAATTTGGTCTCAGATCAGCTACCATCCTCCACCTTCACCATTTATAAAAAATAGGGGCCGTAGTCTTATCCCTCTACCTAGGACAGCAGTATCACTTGAGAAAGTGGAATAAGAACTAGCGTGGACCTAAACGCACAGCTCCAGGAAAAGGAGGCTGGGGATGCGTTGGCTCCATCCTGGGTTTGCATGCATTCCTGCACACACAGAACTAGGTGGGGAGGCCGAGCTCACTCTCAGAGCTGCGTGGTGGCGAGCAGCCAGCCTGGCACTCAGGGATTGAGGAGCATCTGGGAACTGCTCACTCAGCGCTTCCTCGCTGAGCTGCATTACAACCACATCATTGGCACGATAGGATTGGCAAGCGGCCAAGCAGGTAGATTACAAGTGATTAGGGACACAAAGGGAGCCAGGAAACTTAAGTGCTGAGCCACAAATGCCCATGGGGGTAGCAGGGTGCTGGAATGGCTTCTCTGCACCGGCCTCTTGCTGCATCCGAACTCTGTTATTTTCACCCTGCTCTCTTTCAATCCTTTGCTGTCTCTGGGCCTCAGACGGAAGTGGAACAAGGCCAAGCAGACAAACTAGGAATGGAGGCAGAAAGGGCAGTGGATCAGCAGTCTCGGTCTTCCCTGCCACCCGTAATGCAGCCTCTCAGTCATGAGCCAATGGGTCCATTTTTCCAAGAGAAAGTTCTTCTCATCCAATTTTATACATCTTCCCTCAAAGTTCCATCCTTCCAGTTTGCATTTTCCCGGGGAGGAGAAACCCCTTTCTCCTTCTTCATTGGATGTCTACTTCCTTGATCTGCCCTATACTGCCCCACCCGCACCCCACCCCCCATGCAGGCAGGCTCAACAGCAAAGTCAGGCCCTGTAAGGAAAGCCTCTTACCGGTACCGTTTGTGTGCCTGCTATGGACTGCGTGCTGGCATCAGTGCCCGGCTGTTCGGAGTGGCTCTGTGCTGGGGTGTAGAGCGTCAAGGCATGCTCGGGTACTGTGCTCTGCCCCGAATAGTCCTGTGCTGGATGCGGGTGTGGTGGTGGAGGAGCATACTCTGGAGGGATACCATTCTGTGGGGGTGGTGGATATGTTGCCGGGGGATAGGGCTGAGCCATTGCGTCAGGCGGAGCCGTGGCGTCCTGATTACCCTGCAGAGATAGGACAAGAGAATACTCCTTATTCATGGCTGACAATCTCAAGCCAGGCTGTGAGCTTGAACCTTCATCAGCTCCTCACTCTCTGTCCAACAGATCAGGTGAATTCCAGTTAATCTTCCCATAACACAAGGCAGTTAAGTATTGGCTAAAACAGTAATTGCTTCCAACACCAAGGCAAGAAAGAATGCTATCAACACACACCTTTTATCTGCCATAGAATTGCTGGACATCATTTTATAGGAGCAGAGTGGAAGCAGTGTACACGGGACGATAAAATCTTCAGGGTAGATGTGCCCATCGTTATTTTAGTTTTCAATGGATTTGATTAGACTCTCATTCTCTTCTGGGAGAATTAGAGACATAAAAAGCATCTCACTGAAGGCAAGTTGGAATTACAAGGAAAAGATAAAATTATGTGTAGAACAAATAAAACCCTGCTCTAGATAACCTGCCCAGCAACTTCATGGAAGCTCAAAAGTGTATTTCTTTTACAGCATTCTTTGTCATGTATGTTTTGAAAAGCGATTAGCTATTTTTAAAAAATTCTCACCATGACACATTGCAACAACTACCAACACTTATGCTTATACATCTGAACTGCAGGTACATCACCTGGACACCCATGGACTTAAGCAGAGTAGCAATTTGTCCACTGATATTTGTCTTTTAGAGATGGGAGAAAGAAAATGGATGCTGGGTGGAAAAAATGGAGATTGGAAAAAATGCCTTTAGGACAGGATGAAAGTCCCCAGTTCATGCTTATCCCAGCTGAAAGGGAAGTAAAGGGGCCAAGAAAGCAGCAAGATATTTGTAAGACACAGTATCTGTTTCTGTATATTAACATAAACAATTATCTTAACCAAAGGTCAGCCATATTTCTAAATGTTGGGCCTACTAAATTCAAAGATTATACTTTCAAATGGAGGTGGAAATATCCTTCCATGGGGCAGTCACCTAAGTATTGATTTAAGATGAGATATTACAGGGGTTTCATTATTCTTGCTATTTTGCCCTTCCTGCCTTCCAGCAAAAATTGAACCTACATGGCCCATTCTCTTATAAGAATACATAAAATTATTTATTCGGAATCACTGATATGCTGTGGCATTATCAACACCTAAAACTGGCCTATCTTCCCGGTTTAAAAAAGGGAAGGGGATTCTGAACTAGAGAAGAATATGGCCTTTGCCAAATGATAGCAACTCAGTTTCAAAAATGTGTTAATTTCAATGAAAGTTAGAAAAGAAAACCAAACACTACTGTATATTAGATGTCTGTGGTTGCTTCTACACTAGATACACTTAGTGTATCTAGTGTAGTGTATCTTAGTGCTGAGATACTGTTTTTCCACAATTTTCTGGAATTGGAATTAAAATCAAAGCTCCACACAGCACTGAATATACCACTATATTATCCACATATTCTTTCATGCTTTAGATTTTTCTATAATGTTTACTCAGAATTAAATCCCATTCATAAAGGGCTTTCTGAACAGTCATGATTTTTTTTTTGTCCAGTTTACAAATCCTTATCATTAAATTGTTTCTTCTTACTTATGACTACCCCATTTATATATAGCCAATTTATTGACCCTTGAACAGCCTCTCTTAATTGTTCCAGTGTTCCAGAGGCTTTAATTACTGGTTTTGAGCAAAGAAATCATTTAAACCACCCCCTACACCCTATGGGAACAAAAACGGATGCTGAGACTATTAAACAAGGCTATTTATCATTACTAACTGGCTATTCATCATTGTTTTTTCCCCCCTGAAACATATCCCACAGAAAGAAAAATACAGGTAGTCCTCAACTTACGACCACAATTGAGCTCAACATTTCTCTTGTTAAGTGAATTCTGCCCCATTTTATGACCTTTCTTGCCATACTTGTTAAGTGAATCACTGCAGTTGTTAAATTAGTAAGACGGTTGTTAAGTGAATCTGACTTTCCTCATTGACTCTGCTTGTCAAGAAGGTCCCAAAAGGGGTTCACATAACCCCGGGACACTGCGACCGTCATAAATACGAGTCAGTTGCCAAGTGTTTGAATTTTGATCATGTGACCATGATCAAAATTCAAACACTTGGCAGTCATAAGTGTGAAAAAATCATGATGTCACTTTTTTTCAGTGCCATTGTAACTTTGAACAGTCATTAAATGAACTGTTGTAAGTCAAGGACTACCTGTAAGATTTTGCAAAATGAGCCACCACTCTATAAGAGCGCAGGACACCTCCTTCCCTAAAAAAAAATAAATCTGAGTAACATTTTACTTGTTCCCATAGGGCAGGCTGTTGCTGTAACTCATAGAGGTTTATTGCCCCTCACCCATCATAAATTATATGTGGGAAAAAAAATCATGGCATGCCAACATAGAAAATACTAAACTGCAATGTCCTGGATTCTCTTTCAAGAGGGAGTGAACTAACCAGAGCACTTTCAGAGAGGTGGGGAAAAAAAGACTAGTTCAGAAGAATTCAAACATTTCTTAATAAATTTTCCTTGGCCTAAACTATTTTTCAAATTTTTGTTACAAATTAACCCTCATCTACTATTTTAATACGCCTCCATTTATGCTCTGCTCAAATATTCCTTAAATAAATTTTTGAATAAAATTATTGGACTATAAATCCTTTGGCTAGCCCTAAATCTTACATTGTACTTGTTAATGGGCATAATGTTGAGAGAGAAATGCTCTGTACGGAGTAAGGAATATTCATATACTTATGGACAAGAGTTCTAGTAGTGGATTCTATATTCCAAGTACTGACAAAATGCAACTTGGTTCATCTTGAACATTTGACAATAAATAAAGATGAAATCGGAAGAAAATTACTCCATCTGTAATAGGAGACCCAATTTGGCAGATAGAAAGGAATGGTCAGTATAGGTAGATGGGAGCTGTGTTGGATTGGGCCAAGTACTGTATCTCTTTTGTTCAACATTCTGGGGAGTACCAGAAGTTGATGGGGATACCACAAACAAGACATCAGGTACCACAAAAAGGCAACCCAGTAATTGCCTGTTCACTCTTGTTGGCACAGAAATCAAAATCCATGACAACATGAATCATTTGGAAGAGATTCCCAATTCTCCAAATTCCACGAAAGTACCCAGCACGTCAATTGTCATCAGGGAATTTCAAGATATGATTCACACACGGAAGATGTTTCCACCTTCTCTGCCTGATGTTAATTGTAACTGATTGCTGTTCTGTGTCTCCCACACGATGCAATAAAATAAAATAAAATCATGTCCTCTCAGCCACTAGTTACCACTAGAAATATTTGATGGGATTGTGACTCATATGCTAGGGACAGCTTATGTGACGACTGATCTTCAGGTGACAGTCATCACGTAAGGTATTATTTATTTATTATTGGATGCATACCCAGCTTTTTTGTACTGTTCAAGATCCTCCTGCCTCCTATTTTCCTCACAACAACCTTCCGAGGTGGGTTGGGCAAAGTCCCTCAGCCAATCTCCATGTCTAAATGAGGACTAGAACATGTCCTAGTCCAGCACCTTAACCACGGTGCCAAATTGTTTCTCAAACACGCATCCACAGTGCCTCACCATCCTAATATCCTGCACCGAGCAATCCTCCTCTGCAGATACACTTTCTCTCACTTGCCCACAAACATAGCTTCATACCTGATTGCTCCCTACACCCCTGCCTCCTTTCAATCCCTTCTTCCTTGCCTTGTGCTGACAAATAGCCACCAGCCCTCTGCTAAGAGCCCAGATTCCGCATTCAGATGCTTTATAGCTGTATACCACAGTGCCTTTCTCTCTCTCTTGGGATGAAATACATCCACAGCTCCTGGAGCTGAGACAGGCTCTTTAATTGTGTGTGTGGTTAATTTATGACAAGGCAACATCACAGTGGGACAGGCTTGGGCAGGCAGGCTTTCCTTGCTTGAAGAGAGAAACCTTTCCGCCCCAGGCTCTGTCTTTAGGCTCTTTTATTCCCAATCACACCCTGGAGGATGCAGCAAAGCTGTGACAGTGAAAGTTGGGCAGGGGGAAAAAGCCATTTCTGAACCTGCAAATTGTTCTGTTACTCCTTGGATTTTCCTGCATGGAGTCAGGCTTCATTGGGAATGGGAAAAAGGGAAAGCAGGTGCTAATATACATTTAGGAGGGGCTCCTGGCAGCACCTTAAGATATTTTATACTAATCAAGCTATACACTAGAGAAGAAGTAGATGACTAAGCTCAATGCTTTTACAGAAAGCTGTCCCAAATTAGCAGTCTTCACTGGGGAGACACCTTTGATACAGGAGATATTTTCCCTTTAAAATTTATGTAGCTTTCTGACCACCTACCACCCACTCTTTAGCCAAGGAAAACTTATTCAGGCAGAAATAATTGGTCCTTGAAGCTCTCCAGGAGACCATGTCTAAAGCAATGACCTCAATAAAGGCATGTATAGAAGGGAACTCCAGCAGATAATTAGGTCTCCATCCCTGGGTCCAAGGGAGGCAGCTCTATTCCTTTCTTCAAGGTTGAATAACTCTTCTCTCAAAGTGCTGGCAGTTCATAATGTCTCTGAAACCCAGAGTCTGAAGAACATATTCTAGCGTTAGTGCATATCTGCATAACATTCTGAATTTCCAGAAATTCTCCCTTGAGAGAGGGAGGGACAGCTTCATGTAAACTATGCAGAAAATAATTAGGGGGTAGGAAGCAGATTTTAGGCTGAAAAAAAATGCAGGAAGACCTACCCACTTGTTAATTGATCAGCTGAATTAGCTGGCCAGAAGCAAATGAATCCCTGGTTCAAATGAGCTTCTAAGACAGAGACAGGGGAAGAAGAGGGATGAAGCATGTGAATGTATGTGCACTTGTACGCATGAGTGAATAAAGGTTGTTCAATTCTATTACAAACTAATATTCAGGCATCTCAATGAATCTGGTGTCTCGCTTAACTCAGTCTTTGTGGGTGCTCTCCATGGTACTAAATCTCAATAGCCTAATGCAGGGATGTCAA